ACTTTGGCCACATTGGGCATTCAACGGACAGTGGTAGGAGCTATAGATCGTTGTGGCATTTCCGCGTTAGATGCTACTACGTTTTTGTTGTTGTTCTTGGCCATGGCCACAAAAACTGCTTTCTTGTTGGCCGAAGCCTTCGGCAACAATAGCTTGTTGGCGCAGCAGCTCTTGCTTTACCAGCTAGGCTTGGCCAACCGTAGCTTGGCCGATAGTAAGATCTTGTGCTGCTACCGCGTGAGCGGTTGTAGCACAAGCTGTAATGGCCATGGCCAAGAGCCTTTTGGTGATCCGCGGTAGTGTACCCTGTAGCTGAGACCTCGTTCACAGCACTAAGCTACAAGTAGTCTAGCCTTTTGGCGCAGCAGCTCTTGTAGACCAACGTGAAGCGCTAGCGGCCTCCGCTAGCGGCCTAGCGCCGCGCTTCGTTCACGATTGGATTGTCTGCAAGCACCGGGTTGAGTGCCGTATTTGCGGTTAGAGTCCGCGTAAGCCGCTTGTGCAACCGCGTACTACCTGCAAAGCAGGCAGCTTGTTGGCCAGCGTAGCTGGCACCGCTACCGGCCTCCGCGGCGCGGCCTAGCAGCGCGGTTGACAAGATCTTTTGTTGCCATGGCAACTTTGTATTTTGCCTTCAGAAGCTAAGCTTCGGCTAGCACCCTCATGTTTATTGTAAACATAATATCTATAACGAAAAGGATTGAATTTGTTGGCATTTTTATTTACTTTATTATTGCTTTAGCATTAGCTCTAATTATATTAGCACTGTCTTTCCTGTTTGCAACACGAAAGGCTGATCCAGAGAAAATATCGGCTTATGAGTGCGGTTTTGATCCCAAAGATGACGCCCGAAGTCGATTTGATATTCAGTTCTATTTAGTTGCTATACTTTTCAGAATTGTTGATTTAGAGGTTGCCTTTCTTTTTCCGTGGGCATTGACATTAAAGAAAATTGGTTTATGGTCCATGATTCTTTTTCTTTTAACAATAGGTTTTGTTTATGAATGGCGTAAGGGGGCTCTTGATTGGAGCTAGTATAGCGCTTTATTGTATCTTTTTATGTGGCAACCGCGTACGCTACTAGCTTCGCTGCTAAGAATATATGCTGCATTTACCCGCATAGCTGGTCTATACCATATTCAAATAAAAATTAGAATCTTACGCCGCGAAGCGGCACCAAGCTACGCCACCAGCTTCGCAGTACTATTAACTACGAAGCTGATTGGCTGCAAATACAATACTATAAACTCTAAGTAGAAAAAACAACACACTAATGGAGCAACAAAATAAAGTAAAGTCATTAATTAAATCTGTACCAAAATGGATACAGAAATGTTCATTATGTAAGAAGGAAATTGTGTTTTTTATATACCCACAATTTGTTCTTCCTTTCTCATATTTCTTAAGGGATCATGTGAATACGCAGTGCAAGCAACTCATGGATATCACTGCAGTTGATTATCCAACACGTGAAGAAAGGTTTTCAATGGTATATAACCTTTGAAGTGTTTCATTTAATTCTAGAATTCGTATCAAAACGAGTATTGATGAAATTACCCCCATTTCTTCTGTAACACAAGTTTTTTCGTGCGCAGCTTGGTGGGAAAGGGAGGTATGGGATATGTTTGGTGTCTTTTTCTCTGATCATCCTGATTTGAGACGTATTTGAACGGGTTACGGCTTTAAGGGTCATCCTTTACGCAAAGATTTTCCCCTTAGTGGTTATGTGGAAGTACGATATGATGACTCGGAAAAGCGGGTAATTACGGAAGCGGTTGAATTAGCCCAAGAGTTCAGATTTTTTTCTTTTGCAAGTCCTTGGGAGCAAATAGAAAAAAGTTAACACTTTAATATAATATTCATAGAATATGTAAAATCTCTCAAAAATTTGTTGTGAGCGATGCGGGGCTACATGTACCAACCTGCTATCGCTGGTATACCTGGTAGCGGCGGCTTACATTGCAGCAAGGTCGCGCCACCTATGAAGCCGGCAAACGCCGTTCATGCTGCTTGCAGCCCCCAAAAACTCTAATGCTCTAATGATGTCGCGGTCCTTTTGGCCAGCTACGCTGGCAGCTGCTGCGCCAAGTTTTTGGCAAGCTCCGCTTGCTGCAAGAGCTGCTGCGCCAAGTTTGTACCTTGTGCTGAAAGAGCTGCTGCGCCAAAAGGTCGCTACGCGAACTTAAGCTACCGCAACCGCGTACGCGGTACCGGTAGCTTGGGGGTTTATAGTTCAATGGCAGAACACGTTGCTCATAACGACGCAGTTGTAGGTTCAACTCCTGCTAAACCCGAGTGCAGCAGCTACCGCGTACGGGGTCGCGGTAGCTGCTGCGCCAACCTGCAAAAAGCACCCTCATAAAACAAAAAAACTTGGAGAAAAGGGTGCTCTTGGCCATGGCCAAAAACTTTTTTATTCTTTCTTTTTCAAAGAGATGTGAAACACCCGATCCCCTTCCGATCTCGAAAAGTGAAACCATTTCTTTCCACATGTACTGCATCTCGCGGGAGACGTGGTATAAGTAAAGAAATTCTAAAGCAGCTAGCTGCTGCGCCTGCTTCGCAGGTTGCGTACACGGCGCAGCAAGCGGTGGCCTACGGCGCCGTTGCCCTCGTAGCAGGTCAGGTACTACCTTATAGATATAGGCAGAAAAGACATAGAAATGAGTTGAAAAAAAGGGAAGAGTTTGTTTTTTAAGTCTTACCTGATCCAAATATGTACCGTGGAATCCAAATTGATTCCTACTTCATCTATTTGATCTACCGTCTCAGTTAAGAGGAGTCATGGAAAGAACAGGTTCAAAATCCTGATCAATTCCTTTTGAAAATCCTGCTGCAGCTGCACGGGCCCTTCCCACATGCCACAAATGACCCACGAATAGGAAAAATCCTATAAAAAAATGAGAGGTAGCTAACCAACTTCTGGGAGAGACATAATTGACTGCATTGATCTCTGTAGCTACGCCGCCCACGGAATTTCAATAACCTAAAGG